GTTTCATTTTCTTTACTTAGCGTGACTAAATGATCCGATACGGGTGTATGGAAACGACGCATTCAACTCGCACATGTGTGGGCACGTCGCTCATTGCAGGTCACTAAAAGTCACTACTTCGGATCCATGTTGGGCGACAGTTGCCAGCTTCAGTTTTTCCAAATACTGTTGAAAACGATGTCGGCTAAGAAGTACCTCGAAATAGGTGAGTCCCATGCGTTTGCTGCTTAAACCTTATTGCATATATTTGTACGCACATGGAATGCTGAGAACGTTGCAGAAGGGCACATAATGGCGCGAAGAAAAGCGCACAGTTGTGTTTACGGGTGAGAAGACTGTGGTAGATTCCGCAATGAAAACGCAGTGACAATAAAGTTATTACGATACCAAAAAGCCGCACCAGTACTCGAAAATACCTGATAATGCTGAAATGTTGCGTAATTATACTCTATCAAAAAAGTGTTATCCCAACATCAACACTTGATTTTGAGATGGCTTGCATGGCTTAATTATTAGGTGAATTCTCAGGGATTTTCGTCACAGTGTTGATTTATTTTTGTGTTCTGTTTACATTCCCTATGTGCGCGTTAGACCTTCTCGAATTTGGACCCAGTGCGAGTCATCACAGCTATGGGTTCAAATATTAATTGTGCTTAGTTTTTGTAAAATTATACGTTGTAAATAAAAGGTGATCAATCAATCTAGAAATAAAGATAAGTATTGTATAACATTATCAATAGGGAGTGAAATCGTATAGAAAATATTTAACAAGTTATTAAAACTATAGTGTGTAACGGGAGTGTCTATGTCTTGCTGCTGCCAGCACTTCTGACGCCAGGCTTTGTGCTTGCTCCACAGAAGCAGACGGGATGAAAATCAAATCTCTCTTAACAATTTTCTTGAATGTCGTAGCTTTGTGGCTTCTTGCATCACGATCAAGAGTGATCCGTCTAGTTACACAGGTGCCGCAGGGGCCAGGTGGGATATCGAGTTACACCAGGGATACAATCCTGGGCACGAACAACTCGCTTTAGGAGCGCCTAGTTTTGATTGAGCTGGTTATTGCAGAGCGAAACGCTGTCAAGCCCAAACAATGCCAGTGATTTATTCTTGTGATTTCTTAAAGAAGATCATTGATATTATGCAGTTTGATGAGTGAACAATCAGCTTTATGTAAACGCTTGTTTAATTATCACCTCGCCCGGTCCTTGTTTGTGTGCGCTTGACATTGTTAGGGACTGCATGCATCGGGATGTGTTTCAACCAAGATGACATAGACTGGGCTTTTGTGTGAATTCGGCAATGACCTGCACTTACGTGCCATAAAAGTTTTGTCTGAGGAGCGAGGAGAATGGAATCAATATACCAGTAAAGGTACGCTTGAGGGCCGAGGCGAAAAATTACCAAAAGCTTTATCTTCAAAAATGCCCAGGAGGGATGTTAGCGGTTGTAAACTGTAATTTTTCTCGAAATAAACAGTTTATTTTAGAGTGATGTTGGTTACTATGTTTGCGTGTGAAAAGTGAGATGAAAGAAAGGCTGTTTTTTGTAGGACCATGGGAAGACCGCACACTCTAGAACGCTTGGGATGTCGCGTACTGCACAAGAACGGCGGACTGTCACGTTATGTGCGTGCTAGCCCTCCTCTCTTTCTTTCGTTGCTCTTCTAACTCATTGAACTTCCCATCCCATCCCGTATCGTGTGGTAGCGTGCGAGGTTATTCTTGACTGGCTAACGTGCCTGCATTTCCAACCACTCTCGGCCTTGCCTTCGCACGTAGGTTCGTGTGTCGGCTGTCAGCGGCCTCACACGCCATGTTGATATATTGAATGCGGTCGCCGATGCCTCTAATTGGATCTTGCGATCTCGTGCTCTGCAGCGGAACTGAACAACCTGCCAATCATTTTGTCAGGTGTGACATCCGTTCGACAGCTCGCGGCGAAAACGATCAATGTTCCTGCTATACGTTTTCCCCGGAAAACCTTTCCAGCAATGAACAGTGCAGCATTCAAATGAGTTTCATATTATACGGTGATCCATATCAATTTTTAGAAATTAGTTTAATAGTTGAACGCGCATGTGCGTTCAATCGCTCAGTCCTCGTAATAACGACAGCGTTACGCAGTCACAATACTCAAGTAAACGGCGAGTTCTGCCACTCCCATCCTACCGCTGTCAAAATGTCTACCATTAAAAATTTCAGTAAAAAAAAGAAAGAACTCCGATATATGTACATAACGCCCTGCTAAATAGGCCGCTGCACATTATAATGGTACGACCAAATGCATGCGCGTTTGTGCTTAATTAAAACCGATTAATTTACTAACGTCTAAAGCCACAAAGCTGGTCGAAATTTTCTACTAGAAAGTTGTAGCTCAGTTTGCAAAACTTCTGATCACGCAGTTTCTAATTTTTATCTATTAGCCGATCACAGTTTGACGGGAGACGAAATTCTAGAGCCCCCTGTACTGTGCCATGTCCGGTTAAAGAACACCAGATGGTCGAAATTTTCGGAGCGCCCCCTACAGCGTTCCTCATAATCATATCGTGGTTTTGGGGCGTAAATCCCCAGGTATTATTATAACTGTCTGCATATGAAGTATCAGAGAGAGAGAGAAATAGTGAGGAAAGGCAGGGAGGCTAACCAAGCTTGGCTCGGTTTTTTTGCTTCTGCAGATAGCTGCGATATACAGGAGTGTGCTACGTGGCATGCCCACTTGCGGTCCGTCGTTGCAGTGCCCCTAACGTTCCGTGTACAAGCGATCTGACAGTGACTGATCCCCGTATTCTAGAACGTCCCTTCACTCAACGCTCCACCTTCACTTGAGAAAGCCGATGGGAGCGCCGTCTCTAGTCACGACAAGTCACCGCGTAAAACTGATAATCCGCTGCGATTCTTGAGTAGCGCAGCGCCATTTTCAGCCGAGCGGCGGCGCAGTGCACAACTCTGTACGCTCACACACCGTAGCAACTTTGACCCAAACATCCACTCGACCCTATGCAGAGTGTGTGGAGTGGAACAGGAGACAGTTGAGCACTTGGTGCTAAAATGCCAAAAACTCTCACCCTGCCCGCCAGAGGCCGCTACACTACCTCAGGCGCTGGCCTTGGCGGACAGGAATCCAAAAGCATGCTTCCACCACAAAGACAAGGCTCCAACAGTGGTGGAAGTGGTACCAAAAGAAAACTCCTCTTTGTGCTTCTGATTTGTTTGTTCTTTTCTTTATATACCTAGGCTGGAACACAACACATATGTGTTCACCCGTTACAAAGGGCAAACCCACAAATCATCATCATAATCATCAAGTGAAGGGGGAAAGTCGAGTTGAGGAGCGTTTGCGAATGCGGGAGTAACAGGTTAACAGGTAACATGGCGAGCAACAGGTTCGTCATCGCACGGACACCGATGTCGTCGCTTTCTCGTCCCCTTTTAGTGCCGCAGCACACGTGACCAAATGTGACGCCGTTTTGCAGGCGGAACGTTAGCAGGCACTACAATCACGTCGCACAAGCTGATTTATCAGGAAGTATTATTATTTTTTTTGCATTTTTCAACTCTTTTAAGCAAGAGCCTAACAATTCACAAATAGAAATATAATAATAAAAACTCACGAGGTTCAACATCCCAAAACCACGATATGATTATGAGAGACGCTGCAGTGAAGGGCTCCGAAAATTTGGCCACCTGGGGTACTTTAAGGTGCGCCCAAATCTAAGCACACGGGCATCGAGTATTTTCGGCTCCACTGGAAATGCACCTGCCACGGCCGGGATTCGATTCCGCGACCTGCGGGTGGGCAGTCCAGCTGCATAACCGTTAGATCACCCCGACGGATCTTCATAAATAGAGAGTTAGGAGATGCCTAATTGGATCATTTTCGAAACCATTTAAGACCTTGTAATTAAAGGAAAACTGCCTAGCCCCTTCACTTTATAGCGGAAGTCTCAAATACGTATATGAGCTGCACAGGCACGACTGGTAAAAAAAACAAACTGATTTGATCATGCATCTCGTGTGGTCACTACGCATTGAAGCATAATTGTAAGTGAAATATTCATGGGGTGAATGATGGGGCGAAGCATCCGTCCGTCCATTCGTTCTTGCTTCCGTCCGTCCATGCGTCCATCCGGCCGTCCGTGCGTGCGTCCTTCCATGCATCCGCCCCTGCGTCCGTCCATGCATCCATTTGTCCGTGCAGCCATCCGTGCGCCCGTCCATGCATCTGTCTGTGTGCCCGTTCATCCATCTATTCAACACTCCAAGTACCACCATCTCGCATCTTTTCATCATATATTTCTTATATAGAAGCACCGCCATCCAGCGAACATTCCAAGGACTAAACGAGAGGTGGCACATGCACACTTTCTTACGGCTTGCGCTTCGTGTCTACTTCCCATTTTTAACCTCCTTGTGTTCATGGTATATACTAGTTCATTATATTTATGGCACTGTGGCGCAATGCTCGCTAAACCTTTCTAAAACCAAGGCGGTTACGCCAAGCGAGTATAACCTAACAACTTTTTCTCGTCAGATAGTGCTTAATGTACATGCGAATGGCTGCTAAGGGGAATGAGAGACAGGAGAATTCGGCTTTTAGTTAACGCGCACGCTGCGAATTTTTTATTGCTCAAGAACGCACAAGAGAAATCTCCCACCGGCAACACCTTGTAGGTCAAAGCGTAAGACTGGTTACGCACTACGACAACGAAGAGGGACGAACGGGTGCTGCTTTAAAGAGCTTCACCCCTAAAAATACTCCAGAGTTGGCGTCCAGATTGTGGTCATCTTGACGAATTTTATCGAGAAGTTTTTGGAAGTCTAGCAATGTTGGCACCAAACCTTCTTGAAAGTGGCGTGTCTATGAGTTATGGCGAAGGTTTCGTTTCAGATAGCAACGTTCGCTGGCAATTTTTGAAAGGTAAAATAAGTTGTTTTGAAGCAGCTATCAGGTGATGTTTGAAGCTCGCTCGGTTTAAGATGCATCCGGATGAAAAATATCGCGTATCACCCGTGCCAGAGTATGCACAACTACAGGTTTTCCCCGAAACAAACAGCAAATGTTTTGCCTGTTTATGACCTCGCTAGCTATCTGTTTCACTGAAGTTAGTTGCGCACCTACACGTCATCCGCAGTCTATGCTCATGCGCATGCGCCATCTCTCTCCCTATCCCCGCTCTCTCTCTCCACATAGCGGCTCACACATGCACGCGCACGTTAGTTAGGTCTGCACCATAAAGTCTGGTAACAAGTGCACCGCCTGCGATACGGTTGCTGTTACGTTTCCTGCGATAAACTTCTGCAGATGAGTTGTAGCGATGGAAGCGTACACACCGCTGCGAAGAAAAGTAAAAAAAAAAGCAGAACGAACTTTGTTCAGATGTTTGGACATTTCATTCAGCCGGAAATTCATACAGCCCCCCCCCCCTAGCACACACACACATACTTTCATCGGTGTTATTTCCAGTGTACAGTGTATACTTTAACATGCACAAAAAATAATAAAAAAGACTGGTTTCAACAGCAACGTTACTGGCACAATGACAAAGCGACCACCGTTCGACTAGTTTTTCTTTTATTTTTCATTTCCACTGCTCGTACCCATCTAAGCTACGAACCAGTTAGCTTCGGCGAATCCCGTTTTGAAGAAAAAAGAACAAAAAGACCTCGTGCTCGCTTGTTCGTGGTACGGTCGCTAAAATAAATTGACTCACTGCTGCTTCACGAGTTTGTTGTTCAGTTTATGTTCAGGATGATTCTACGTAGTTAGATTTTCGATTGTGGTAGAGTCATTTATAGCCATTGTCTCTCCACGATCACTGCTTTGATGGAACTACAGGCATCATAATTATCCCAGCGCTTGTATATACGCACTTTGCATGGACAGACCAAGTTGCAAGTACAAGTGCATGGCTTTTGAATAAATAAATGAACAGATTTTATTTGTTTATTTATTCTATTTTTATTGGACATACAAGCGGGCCAGAGAAAAATCTAGTAAGGGTCAACACTGCCCACTATCCTGTTTGGCGAGTCGCAAATGAGGCGCCGCCTTGTCTTTCACTATCACGATACAAGAGCCATTGTGTAGGCGAAAATCTCTCTCACGGAATTCCGTTGTTGCTTGTACCCATGTTCCAATAATGTTTTATGACTCATGTATTCGCAGCTTATTTCAAATACTTGGCGTCTGTGTCGGCAACATACTCCACCACTACAGTGGAGCGCTTGTGTGGAGCTTGAGCCGGTGTAGTGACCGTGGTGGCGCTGCAGACGTTAGCGTCATTGCAAAGCCCTGAAGTTGACTTTCATGGAAAAAGATTCTTTCCGAGCACGCTTGACGAATAGGAGCGTGAGCGTTGTGCTATATATAGAGCTACTGCATACTGACAAATATGGCTGCGCTGTTTAAGAGTAGTTTAGTTAAGCAGGAGATCACAAGCACCTACGAGTGCTACGCTAGTGATGTGGTCAAAGTTCTCCCTGGTAGCACGTTGCGAAGCCGAAAAGCACTCGAATGGCGAGCATATGCTGCGCATTGCGCATGTGAGCCCTGCGTGAGAGACGATATGAAAGAACTTTGTTACATGTAGGTATCAACAGGGTGCGTTGGATTCTGCATATAGGAATCTGCCATCTGTGTGCCTTTTCTTTTTTAGCTCGTGATCTGAGATGGGGATTTCAAGCAATAACTGTAAGCAATCTGTCGGGCTACAGTGCAGTGTCCGCAGCATTGGCCCTGCCTCCAGACGGAAAGGTGGTGGCCCTGGACCTCTACGAGAACCTAGTAAACGTGGGCAGGCCTCACTGGAAGGAAGTACGTTCAATATTCGTTGTTGTTTTGGGTTGTTAGATGTTGTCCTGTGGACATATGCTCATCACCACGACGCTGCAGTATGAAAAGTTAAAACTGGCTCTGGTAATATGCGCTTGAATCAAATGTTTCACCTGCAGACCGAAAACTCAAAGATTGACTGAGTGCAGACGTCAAAGATTGATTGTGTGGCTCATCAAATCCTTTATACTGCGGTATATCAGTTATATGGAGACTCTCGACGGGTTTTTGTCGTCGGTGTTGCCGTCATGCTCCGTGTAAAGCCCAAATGGGCAACATCATGCTACTTATCGTATGGTGTATCCACGAGTAAAATCTTCCAAGTGGTGGAGACGACCGCGGCTGAAGCAGAGGTGAAACGAGCAGTCTCCGTCACAAGGAGGGCACAAGTAATAACATCACCCCACGTGTGAGGCGTGCAGTCGAATCGCTCCTTCGCCCGTCTTTCGTCGGGCGAAAGACCTTAAAGCGACAACGGGAGAGGTAGGGGGCTGCGTAACTCAGGCAGCAACTGCGAACTTTGACAGTAAGGGCATGATCGCTGGTGCACGCGCTATCTCGATAGACATCAACGAACGGCTTTGGTACGTGCTGCGCTCTCAACGCTTCGTGTTGAGACGGTAGACTGCATTAAAATCGCTTCTGTCGCTGGAGCAACCGTGTACCCTTATACGAGCGTGCTGTGTAGTTACGCAAGATTGAATCCAAAGGAATTAGTCTTATATAGTATAACGTGCGATTTGTTGATACCCGTCGTTCATTGCTTCTTCCATGCGGCAAAAGTGTAGCCTAACCTTTTTATTTGTATTATTTGTAAGGATCGCAGCCGCAGTAAATTATCGATTCTTATTTTTTTTTTCGCTTCAGGCTGGCGTGGAGGACAAGATCGAGATGAGGTTTGGCCAAGCTGTTGAGTCCTTAGGTAAGTTTGCGGCGATGAAAACATTTGTCATACGCATTCAAATACAACGGGAGGGTATCTATTCCAGGACACCTATGGTAGCCTTTGCGAGAGCCCAGGCCCTGAGATTGAGGGCCCGACATCGCGAGATTCGCTTCTTACGGAGCTTACGTTGCGTGAAACTACAAGCGGGGCTTTAAAGGGGCCCTGCAACACTTTTTGAGCATGGTCAGAAAACTCTGCCGATCGGTAGTAGAGGATTCCGACAACACGCGAGCCAAATATTAAACCGCAGGACGCCCCCTAGAATTCACAATAATTGATCAGTCAGTTAAAAATTGGTTTCTATTCTCTCGACAAATCACGGAATATGCTCAAAAATTACATGTAGCAAGCCCATCTATCAGCCGTCGGCTGATTTGAACATGGCGCGCTTGCTCGTTACAGATATCACCACGAGAGGCCGCGACTTGTCCACGCTTGTGCGCGCGATCACACTGAAGAAAGCCGCGCATTCGAAGAAAAAAAGAAGAAAAGTGCTCAAGGTCCCGAGGCACGCGTGAAGTTTTTTTTTTTTTTTTTTTGTGGCCCTGCCATCCCTTCCTGTTTAGCTTCCAGCGCCTTCGTCGGTACGAGAGAAGGGAGAATGCAATTGCAGCACGTGAAAGACCTTTGTAACTCTACTCGCACTGGACGGATTCTTAAAATTTTTGCGGTGTTGAAGTCATAAGGCAAGAAGCTCTTCCAGTGAATCGATTTCATGGGTACTTGAAAAAGTGTTTCAGGGCCCCTTTAAGACTGCCTTGTTCAGCCAGAATACCTTTGCACAGGGACGAAGAAAAAAGACACAATAACACCACTCTCGATTCTGGAGTCATAAACTGACCGACATAAGTAGACATCGGGCAATCGATTGATTGATTGAAATAACTTTATTGAGATTGATTGAAAATTAGCAAGTACTGAAAAAAAAGGGGGATCTGTAGCCGTAGCAAGAAAAGTCGAGCTAGTTTGTTCAAATGCATTGTACGCGAAAGTAAAAACAAACTAGGATCACAGGCTGTCCAACTCACTCATGAGTCAATTCAAACTCACTGAGACTCGAATTGAGCTGTGAGTCTGAGTTGGAGTGAGTCCGGGGGAGTAGTATTATGGTGAGTTTGAGTCCGAGACAATGCGGTTGAAGAAAGGTATAGTAAGTCTGACTCCGAGTGAGTCTGGCTGAGTAAAATATTGGGGAGTGTGAGTCCAAGTGAGAAACATATTTCTTGAGTTAGTCTTAAGTGAGCTAGACCTTTGTTGACGGCCTATAGCCCCTGTCTACTCCCTTATTCGCATTATATCGGGTTGCGTTTGCAATCAAGTTTCTTCACACATATCTTGACACACAGGCGTTCAGTGCCCCTTAGATGTTTGATTAATCTTGAGGGAGGTGTGCTAGTACCCCCACCCCCTCCACACACACACAATCTCTCACTGGGCATTCCGCATTCCATCGTTGATGGAAATATCTGGTGTGAGTCGCATATTTCATAGAAATGCCTTTACTAGATTTTCAACCCTAATAACTTGTTTTTGAAGCTACAATATCAAAAGACGTTTCATAGAGCACTGATTATGTCATATACAGTCGTTAAAGTTTACGCCACGATCGGAAAAAAGTAATTCTAACTCAGTGGACTCACTAGTCGCTGCTGAAGACGACGCGGAAGAGATGGCGGACTTATGTGTGGGTTGTTGAAAAAAATGAACGCCAATACAAATTCAAAGCCGTTTTTAAATGCGAAGCATTTCTTGGAGAACTTTGACGACTTAAAGCGTATCTATCTATCTATCCATCATTCCATCCATCATTCCATCCATCCATCCATCCATCCATCCATCCATCCATCCATCCATCCATCCATCCATCCATCCATCCATCCATCCATCCATCCATCTCTATCTATCTATCTATCTATCTATCTATCTATCTATCTATCTATCTATCTATCTATCTATCTATCTATCTATCTATCTATCTATCTATCTATCTATCTATCTATCTATCTATCTATCTATCTATCTATCTATCTATCTATCTATCTATCTATCTATCTATCTATCTATGCCCCGCCGCAGTGGTCTAGTGGCTAAGGTACTCGGCTGCTGACCCGCAGGTCGCGGGTTCGTATCCCGGCTGCGGCGGCTGCATTTCCGACGGAGGCGGAAATGTTGTAGGCCCGTGTGCTCAGATTTGGGTGCACGTTAAAGAACCCCAGGTGGTCAAAATTTCCGGAGCCCTCCACTACGGCGTCTCTCATAATCATATGGTGGTTTTGGGACGTTAAACCCCACAAATCAATCATATCAATCATTATCTATCTATCTATCTATCTATCTATCTATCTATCTATCTATCTATCTATCTATCTATCTATCTATCTATCTATCTATCTATCTATCTATCTATCTATCTATCTGTCTGTCTGTCTGTCTGTCTGTCTGTCTGTCTGTCTGTCTGTCTGTCTGTCTGTCTGTCTGTCTGTCTGTCTGTCTGTCTGTCTGTCTATCTATCTATCTATCTATCTATCTATCTATCTATCTATCTATCTATCTATCTATCTATCTATCTATCTATCTATCTATCTATCTATCTATCTATCTATCTATCTATCTATCTATCTATCTATCTATCTATGCCCCGACGCAGTGGTCTAGTGGCTAAGGTACTCGGCTGCTGACCCGCAGGTCGCGGGTTCGTATCCCGGCTGCGGCGGCTGCATTTCCGATGGAGGCGGAAATGTTGTAGGCCCGTGTGCTCAGATTTGGGTGCACGTTAAAGAACCCCAGGTGGTCAAAATTTCCGGAGCCCTCCACTACGGCGTCTCTCATAATCATATGGTGGTTTTGGGACGTTAAACCCCACAAATCAATCAATCAATCATTATCTATCTATCTATCTATCTATCTATCTATCTATCTATCTATCTATCTATCTATCTATCTATCTATCTATCTATCTATCTATCTATCTATCTATCTATCTATCTATCTATCTATCTATCTATCTACGACTTTTAGCTCTCATGGCTGTTTCGATAATGGTATCAATACCAAACTTGGTATCGCGTAACATGACTGCATGAAGAACGTATTCGACTAGTCATGACATGAAAATCACGACATGTATGTTATGAATGTCATAATTTACGTTTCATGGTGCTCCAGCTCTCGTGGTGGCTTCGTTCACATGGAATGTTGCAAAACTGGTATGGTATGACATGATTGCATGGCGAACACAAGCGACAGACCCTAACAAGAAAATCATAATGTGTATGTCATGTAACAACACGACTGCATGCCACGCTCATGTTGAGCTTGCGGCCGTTTTGCTAGCGTCACATATACCAAATTTGGTATAACGGTACGTGAATGGATGACGAAGGTATGATACTGGTGCAAACATGATAAACATAAAACGCGTGTCATGTAACAACATCACTACATGCCACGCTCACGATGCGCTCGCGGCCGTTTCGCTAGCTTCACATGTACCAAACTCGGTATTCCGCGACGCAAACGTACGACAAAAGTAAATACCACATCCAAACATGATAATCAAGACATGCGTGTCAAGTAACAACATGACTACATGTCACACTCATGATGCGCTCGCGGCCGTTTCACTAGCTTCACATATGCCAAAGTTTGTATATACGTGACGTGAATGGCTGACCATCTATAGGGTAAAACATGATAATCATGAGATGCATGTCATGGGAGAACATGTCAAGGCGCCATGTTTTCATGTGAGAACATGTCAAGGCGCCAACACATTTTGACGTGACGTGGTGCGCGTGCTCGCAAGCGTTCATTTTGTCGCGTCACGCCGGCGTTTCCACGCCAGGCGCCGGTCCTGCCACATATTCGCAGGTGCGAACTGCGCTGCATTGCTTTGACGCATGCGTGTTTCAGCGCGTCCGGCGTCCCTCCGTCACAAAAAGAGGGAGACGCAGTGTTGCCTGGGTAACGCATCGGCGCGAAACAGCATGTCGAATTTCGCGCCGGTTGCCGCCGCGGCGCGCCGACGGACGCTGGTCGCGTCGGTCAGGCCTGAAGTATACCATAGTTCTCGCGTTTTGCTAGCGTAGCGTCGCTGCGCCGAGCGTGCGCGTCCGTCAACGTTACGTCGGAGTATATTGGGCCTGTCATGATGCACTTGCCGCTGTTTCGCTAGCTTCACATATACCAAATTTGGTGGTACGCGACGTCAATGGATGACAAAATATATGACTGGTGCAAACATGATAATCCTGTCAGGCGTATCTTGCAAGAACATGGCAACATACTACGCTCACTGCGTGCTCGCGGCCATTTCGCTAGCTCCACATGTACTAAATTTGGTGTAACGTGACGTCAACAGATGACGAAGGTAAACGACACACCTAAACATGATGATCATGACGCGTAAGTCATGTATGGCATGATTTACCTTCCCCTCGTAACGTTGTGTTGATTTTGAAGTGACATATCAACCTTTCTTATTCGTGCTTCGCATATCATTGATTCCCAGTGTACGTGGTATCTGCAAAATGTTTTCTCGATCTTGATTTCGTGACTTCCCAGACGCCCTGCTGAGCGAAGGTCAGGCTGGCACGTTCGACTTTGTGTTCATCGACGCGGACAAGGAGAACTACGACAAATACTACGAGAGGTCTCTGCAGCTGCTCAGAAAAAATGGCCTCATCGCCATCGACAACGTCAGTATGCCAACGTTGTGCAGTGCTAGACAGTATTTTTGCAGAACGCTAACTCGATAACGAGAATAGAATGCCATAGATTAAGATAGGACTAAGTCTTTATGCTATATTCTAACTATAAAAAAGGCGCTCTCATGGCGCCTGGGCTTTCGAGCTATTTGGTTTATCGACTAGTGGGGTTGTTGAAGTATTTCGGATTTTGCCCCCTGGAACAACTCCGGGTCCTGGGAGATGGTTTCGTCCCTTTATTTTCTTAGTGACAATCGATACGAATAAACACTCTCCAGCCATGTTTAGTCTATAGTTTTGAAATTAAAGACTGGCCCTACATTTCGAAACCGATTCGGTCTCTTCTTCAGGGTGTGACTGCCCGGCCGTCTCAGAAGCTAGCGTCCCGCCGTTCTTGATGCGGCGTTGTTTTCTCCATTTTCACGTAGAAAACAACGCAGCAACAAGGATGACCGGAAGAACAACGGTGGAGAGGGGGACAACCATTAAGAATAGTCGCTAGCTTCGGAGCCGGCAGGACAGTCAGCCCCTGAAGAAGAGACCGAACGGGTCTCGAAACGTAGGATTAGTTTTTAATTTTAATATTAAATCTATAGGCTAAACTTGGCTGGAGAGTCTGCTTGTTTGTGTATTTTTTATCTAGTCAGACAGATCTCTGTCAAATAGGTTTACGTTTAAAGAGTCAATGGGGCATTGTACTCAGAACGCCACTGGATGGTTACAAATTTAGACGAAGTGAAAACATGGAAATTTTAGGTATACATATTGTTTGAAGCGTAACTAGTTGTCATGCACATTCTAGGGGATAACGAAACTGCAGATACCAACGCGCGTGTGTGTGTGCACTGTTGTTGGGAAGTGTGGAGAGGTAAAAAGTGGTTGTAAGGAGTTTTTCACGAAGAAGTCGGCAAAGCTGGCTAGAGGGTGCTGAGTTGTCTAGAAGTCGACTTCTGGGACGACAACTTTCAAAAGAGAGAGAGATAGTGTGAGAGACTGAAAAATACAGAGAAAGACGAAAATATGATTCCAGCTTCAATGTACATGCCGTGTCTGTTACCCACATTGCGCTAAGGGCGAGGGGCGACATATTAAACAAAAATCAGAGCATATCCACAGAGTGAATGATGATGAGTGGGGCGAAGCGTCTGTCTGTCTGTCTGCCTGTCTGTCTATCTGTCTGTCTGTCTGTCTGTCTGTCTGTCTGTCTGTCTGTCTGTCTGTCTGTCTGTCTGTCTGTCTGTCTGTCTGTCTGTCTGTCTGTCTGTCCGTCCGTCCGTCCGTCCGTCCGTCCGTCCGCGCGTTCGTACGAGTCTTGCTAAAGAGTAACGTTATGCAGTAGCATGGCACTATTTGGCCTGAAATAAAAGCTGAGTTTATTCTGTATATACAGGAGTGCTAATCTAGGGTGGACTTTTCAAAAAAGAGCCGAGATGGCACCTAAACGGCTCATTCGTGAAACAAATAAGCTCGTTTATTTAATATAACAATAGATCTGGGATTTTACGTCACGGACTCATGGCTTGGTTTATATGTGGAGTTTAACATTCCAAAACCACCATATGATCATGAGAGACACCGCAAACCCATGGCTTGGCTATCAAAGACGCCCAGTGGAGAACTCCGGAAGTTTTGGCAATATGGTGTTATTTAGCGTGCGTACATATAGCACAGCACACGGGCCCTTAATCCTTCCTTCTCCACCAAAATGAGACTATTGCTGCTGAGATCCAACTCGTGACCCTCGGGTCACCAGCGGAGCACCTTAACCACTACACCACCGCGGTGGACAACACACTATAATACGGGATGCTATTTGAAATAGAGTGATTACAGTGCTAGTGGTTTCTGTTTTAGCGTATAGCTGGTCCAGCGTTTCGGTTATCTCGTACCTTCGAAGAACTACGCGCGCTTGACCAGTGGCCATCTGCGTTGTGACAGGTGCTGTGGCGGGGCCTGGTCTACGACCCCAGCGACAAATCAACGGAAGTTGCGGCGCTGCGGGAGTTCAACAAAAAGCTACACGAGGACGAGCGGATAGACGTCTGTCTGCTACCTCTCGCCGATGGGATCACGTTTGCCAGGAAGAGGTGATGGACAGCTCTACAAGACTGTCGTCACCAGTCGCCTTACCGCAATCAATAAAGTGGGATGTCATTTTTGTCATGAAGCGTCTTCAGAATTAGGGCACTGTGGAGACCACTTATAATATTGAGATGAAAGCCTTAGATGATTCATCGAAAGCGAAAATTGACCTTCGGTGGTGTCAACGCGAGTGAAGAGAGCAAACCATCTCGAGTTGACGTCACGTATCACCAGAATTCGTGATGTTATCAATACACGGCATAGTGGCTTGGTCAAGGGTGGGGTGTTCACGGAGGTCATGCGAAACCGAGTTAAGTGCAGAAAGTTTGTGATGCCTTCAATCCCGGAGGCAATGTAAAATTACACCAGGTGTAGAAAAATATTCGGTGGGGGGGAAGGAGGAAGAAGAATATGTAAAGAAAGAAAAAAAAGATGGCTTTTGACTTCGAATCCCCTTAAAAGAATACATTGCAAACACGCAAGCTATCTTCGAAAGCAGCAATAACATCGAATAAACTGAATATTCATAATGAGGCTAGACAAAGAATCATGCATGATAATCCGTAAACAAGCTCAATGACGAGGTCAGCCACTGGAGGAGGAAACCACTGCATCTATTACACCTTCCCTTATAATACGGGCGTGCACAACGTCCAGTACAATGTTTGTTCCGGTAAGGCGTGCGATCTGCACAGTAACACTGCGAGGAATACGTTACTTGCGCTTTAGTTTGAGTAGCGAATCCGACCTGCAGGTTAACAGTGTCCTCGCGGTATTCCACCGGAAGTAATTACAGATCCAAACAAACCGAGCGCCCCGGGTCTATGTATACAAGAGCACGCAGGCCTTGTTATTGTGCGTCCGCGCGAACAAAAGGAAAACCGTCCCGGCGTGTACTTGTTTACTTGCCTCCCGGCTGTCGCCTGTCAGCGTGGTAATTAAATGAAGATGAAGCGCGGACAAAAGGAATCACGCTGCGGTTAATTAGGAAAGCCCCTCCAGCGCACGGGCTCGGAGAGGGATGCGGAACTGTGTGGCAATGCTTGGCCAGATGTTACTGCTTCGTGCTCGGGCCAGCGCAGATTGAAGAGTTGGGCATACGCTCTGCACTGTTGTTTGCCTGTGGTAAGATCTCCAGTCCGGTTTGTTTGTGTGCCATATTAAGTGACAGCGAACGGCGATGGCAGGCTGCCCGCAGGTTTACAAGACCCGTTCCGTCTGGGCATATTCGTTCGGCCGTGTGTTTAGGTGACACATGTTTGCTATGCTTCTGAAAACACATTTCGCTCAATACAAAGTAGCATGAAATAAAAAACAACAACACTAGAAGCCTCGCCGCTTTCTCGTGACCCGCACAAAATGCATGTTGATTCAGGCATTGCATCTTTGTGTGATCATGTGACTTCCAGTGTAATGAAAGGGACGGCCATCGCGTTTCTCAATAATATTGAAGCTGATTTATACCGGTCGTTTGTAACCTCTGTGTCTTTATCTTATACATTACCGCAGCATTAACAGGTCCCAATTGTGGCCTATTTGTGGCTTAAGACTAGGCTCTGCGTTTCCGCTTGAATGTATTCTCACTTTTTTGGCCACAACGCACTCACATTATATGTACCTTAGGTAACCCCAGATGGTCAAAATTATCCGGAGCCTTTCACAATACGCCTTCTCTCATAGCTGCATACTTACCTTACCTGGACAATTTCACGCAGAGCATCTTACCTACACAACTTTACCCAGACCTTTTACACAGACGACCTTACCCAGAGAATGAAATGAACACTTGGACTCGTGGCAATAATATACTTGACCTCGTTTTCGCTTCATACTCCGAGCTGTTTCACTGAGCTACGGGCTTAAAAGGCCTCACTAATCACCGTACAACTTTGTTTAATCTTTCGACTTTCACATCTAAGTGCAAACCACGAAAGAAGCCCATACACGACTACAACAAAGCCAACGTTAACGAGCTCATTACCGAATCAGAAAGATGTTATAGTATTCCTTTCAAACCTAAATTTCCAGAAGTGTAGGACAGAACTTGTTACTGTATAACAGTATAAGACGCTGCATTTCCGATGGAGGCGGAAATGTTGTAGGCCCGTGTGCTCAGATTTGGGTGCACGTTAAAGAACCCCAGGTGGTCTAAATTTCCGGAGCCCTCCACTACGGCGTCTCTCATAATCATATGGTGATTTTGGGACGTTAAACCCCACATATCAATCAATTATAACAGTATAAGACTAATTTCGTAACGCTGATTGATAAATACGTCCTACCTTTGTCTATTCATTGTGATGATGGCTGTTCTGACAGCTTTCGTTGCATCCGGTGTTCCTCAGGCGTCCATGCCCGGCCTCTTACTCTTTTTAATCTACGTAAACCACCGACAATTAAGAATGTCATCATCTATTTCATCATTCGCAAAGTATTGTGTCTTATATCGCGAAATAACCAACACTAACGATCGCGAAATTGTACAAAATGGCCTTTCATTAGTGGAAAAATTGTGTTCGAATTCGATGACGCAGACGAATATTAGCTTCCAAATTAAAACCCATGCTAGTATCTTGCAAGCAGTTTAACTCGAAATACGCCTACCACTTAAATTAGATAAACGAACTAATTTCTAACACTCCCTCATGAAAGGGTGGCAGGCAGATCGAGGTAGTTGGTACTCCGTTATGAGAACCGTAATAGCGCGGAGACAACACAAGGCAAAAGAAGGGACGGAGACGAGCGGAAACTTCAACTAAGCTTTACTGGGAAACGACAGGTACACATACGCAGGGAGTGGTTGCAGTGACAGCAGAAAGAGTAAAGTCGGACGCGAGTCAATCAAGCATCACCAGAATGAACAGCATGTGTACGAACATGGGAAGATCACAAAAAAAAAGAAAGAAGAAACAAGACCCCCCCTCTCCCCCAACGCGAAAATAATTCGGGTGGCGTCACCGCATGCACGCGTATACCCGTACCTTCCAAAAACAATCTCTTTATCGCAAAATGGTATGGACGGCTCGATCACGCCGGCGCATCCCTCCCGCTTCATCCGAGCCGCTTCGACAATGATGCGGCTGAGTTCGTCTTCGTGCCGGTGCGAAACTGAAGTGTTATCACACACAGGACGACAAACATGCTTATCGCAGTGAAGAGCCAGAAAATTATCCTTGTTCGAGACATTGTTTGCGTGTTGACGAAGTCGGTTCGGGACAATCTACCAGTCTGACGGACGTAGCAGGCAGCACACAACAGATGAATTATGTGAACCGCCTCGTACAGACAATCCACGAACTGGTTGCGATGCTTCACCTTTAATCCAAAGTCTCGTCTCGCCACATGACTGCTCATCTGCGAGAGCGGGGCGGGTTTGTGCAGAGTCTTAAAACCAGCCATAACAACAGAGTCAGCAAAATTTTGAGTTCGGTATAGCTTAGGCAGAAAAGGATTTCTCGTGAAAAGTTTTGTTCAGCTTCAACTGAACGTATACTCCAGAGTGGAGTACGAAAAAAAAAATGGCGTGAATGCCTCGACCGCATCAATAGCGCCTCGGATATCCTCTGAAAAGGAGAACTTTAGCGTCTCAGGTCGACGTGTCTTGCAAGGTGTCCCTCCTCAAGCCTCGACAGGGTCGTTACTCATTTTCAAGGTGACGGGGACGTTCTTAGCTCAGTTCCTCCGCCACACCCTTTGCCTGGGCTCGAAGTTCGCCATTGACAAGCTGTGGTACGCGGCGAAGCTTCTTAGCATGGTGCACCGTGTAGCAGGTTGTGCCCCTGGGAACGAGTTCGAGAAGTTCGTACACAGGAATTCATCATTAAAGAGAACATCGTAGTGCGTGGTACCGGTCGGCGCCATGGCTGGCCGGCGCTGCAACGAGTTCCGCGCAGGCGCAGTGAGCATTGTGCATGGTGCTTTTCGATCTCGAGGACGATTTGCTTCGCGACAGTTTGACGCTCCGCAGCACATGGTATTGGGCGACGATATAACTCCCCTCACACAGCGACACTGCACTTGCCCTAAACTCGTTGCAGCCGCTGGCTGACGGTGGTGCCGAGTGGCCGCCACGTTCTTCGGTGTTCTCTGTAACTGTGGACCCGTGAGTACATCTCAGGAGGTGTTGATGCGCTTCCTCGGTGCAAGTCTTAAAGCAATGAAATGCCGGTAAGGAAGTTTGTTACCTTCTCAAAAGACGATGAGCTGTGCGTTGTTCCTTCTGATGAGGAAGGCGTTCCTGATTCATAATAATTGTTGTACCCAATTGCCCGTTTCCTTGAAAAGGCACAAGGTGCTACAATCTCCATTTTTTGCGCCTGTGCTGACGTTAACATAGCGGATGCCTGATTCAGGCCAAAAGAAGTGTGCAGCAAGCTGAATTTGGTTGCACTGGCGTGACGTGTCTGCAAGAGGTAGAAGTGGGGGTCAGGTGATGTTTCTTTTGCGAAAAGTCTCAAGTTAGACGTGCCGTTTCAGGCAATTCTCTCAGAAAGTGGTTCGTGCCAGGAAGTGCTCGCTATTTATCTGCGGTAGAATTTAGGGTTGCAGTGCAATAACGATCCGTTTTTTGTGAAGAATGCTACAGAGGTCGTCAACTTTTTCAATGTGGTTAGCCATCGCCAAGTTAACGCTGTCTCGATTGACATCGAAGTTCTTGTTTATTCTCTTCCTCACAAAAAATACTTGAGTGTGTTATGGAGTGCATTGAAAACTTTGGCGAACCCGAACTTCGGAATGCGGCAGGTATTAATACGAGACCTTTTTTGACATCTTGCACTTGTATCCAACTTCCACGCTTGTTGAGTGGAATCAGGAGGTCTTTTTGCCGAAAGCAGGCGTGTCCATCGGTTCCCGCATCGCGTCGCTGTTAAATGATTTAACCTTGACGAAGCCAAGGTTGTTCCGTAGCGCGTTTCTCAGCTCGCGGCTGCTTCTGCGCAGAGCTGATAGACGAGCGGACAAGACGACGGTGAGTTAAGCCAAGATTTATGTACAGCATAGAGTAGAGGCATTAGATATTCGGCGCTGGGGCCAACAGCTTAGGAACTCGAAGAGCCGAGGTGTCTTCCGCCGCTCTTCACTTTG